AAGGGGAGCCATGGGCACGCGAGGCTGCCCGGTGTAGCAATGTCATGCACACATTTGAGGTCAGGCAGCCTCAGGCTGAACACCTGGTTCCAGGAGCTACAAGCCTGGAGCCAGTTATTTATTGAATGATTGGTAAAGCGAAAAAGTAGCACCCACCTCATAGGCTAAGTTTAAAACCTCCCCCTCCCTCCATGAAATAGAATATGGAAAACAGCAGACATCTAACAACTACCGTGTTTCCCCCAAAATAAGCCCTCCCCATACAATAAGCCCTAGCTGGATGTCTAAGCACGTGCACAATAGAAGCCCTACCCCGAAAATCAGCCCTAGTGATGGGCGTGGCTGTGAAAATCAGCCCTAGTGATGGGCGTGGCTATGAAATGAGCCCTGGTGGTGGGCGTGGCTATGAAAATCAGCCATGGTGATGGGTGGGGCTATGAAAATGAGCCCTAGTGATGGGCGTGGCTATGAAACGAGCCCTAGTGATGGGTGGGGCTATGAAAATCAGCCCTGGTTGTGGGCGTGGCTATGAAAATCAGCCCCCAGTGATGGGCGTGGCTGTGAAAATCAGCCCTAGTGGTGGGCGTGGCTATGAAAATCAGCCCTAGTGATGGGCGTGGCCATGAAAATCAGCCCTAGTGATGGGCGTGACTATGAAAATCAGCCCTAGTGGTGGGTGGGGCTATGAAAATCAGCCCTAGTGGTGGGCGTGGCTATGAAAATCAGCCCTAGTGATGGGCATGGCTGCGCAGCGCATCTGCACAACCCATGTGTGTCGTCGCTGAGTGGGAAAGAACACGGGCAGCCCTTCTCATCCGCCCCGTGAGAGCTCTAGTGCTCCACAGGAGAGATCGGGGCCGGTGGCTCTAAAGGAAACACTCTGGGGGTTGCTCAGGCTAGAGTGCAGTGCACGTGGGTCAGCCTTAAGCTCACAGAACCTCAGACTCCTGGGCTCAAGAGATCCTGCTTCCTCGCCTCCAAGTAGCTGGGAGACTACAGGCCTTGCCTGACATCGATGCCTGGCTAATTTTTTCGTATATATTTTTAGTGTCCAGCTAGTTTTTTTTAGTAGGAGACGTGCGTCTCGCTCTGCTCAGGCTGGTCTCAATCCTGCACCTTGAGCCGATCCCCGCCTCGGGGCCTCCAGGAGTGCAGGACTACAGGCGTGAGCACTGCCGCAGGCCTAGTTTAGTTGTCTTTAGGACTTTAATGGTTAAGAAATCAATTAGTCGGCTTCTCATCTGACCACGTTCAGACTTGCACCCGTTTCGCTTGCCTACACGGCAGGAGAGAGTATCAGATAATTCCTTATGAAGGGATGCAAGCGTCGTTTCTAGTATCCGCGAGGATAGTCACACAAAAAGGCGCTGAATTTGGCAACAGAAATTTAACTGTGCATAAACTGCTGATTTTCTCTGGCCTGGTGTATAAAACAGAGCTACGGAAGACATCCAAAGAAACTTCCAACTCTCCTGTTCAGCACCAAGGAGAACTGATTTTTGCCCCAGGCGTGCACGTAAGTCTTTGAACCAAAGTTAAACTGAATCTCAATTTTGGTTCAAGAGGGAGAAAACTAGTGGCGTAGTAGGAAAAGTCAAAGGGTGAATTGGTGCTAAATTCTCTTACATTGGACGCGTCTATGGTACTAAAAAGCATATGGCCTACTTGAAATTCTATGAGCAAATGAATATATTATTATGCATATGTGTGTATATATATATAAATACAATGCACAATAATACACTGCTGTATGTTCTTATCTCTGCTATATCAGAGAGAACACGGTGGGCAATGTCCCGTTTTTCAAAATAAGCCTGAGTTTTGTGACTTTATACTTTCTGAATTCATACCCTTGAAATCAATCTTATCCCTTGTAAAAAGGGAATAATAGATAAATTTAGCAGCAGGGGTCTCAAACTTTTAAAACAGGGGGCAGGTCACTGTCCCCAGACCGTCTGGGAGGGGAGTGTTGCACTGTGGCCCGGACGCGTCGGCTGCTAAAGCAGGGACAGGCAGCCGCGGCAAAACACTGGAGGCGATACATGCTGCCAGGTGGCCCGCAGTGGCCCTCGGGCCATAGGTTTGTTACGACCTGTTTAAAACACTAAGTAATGCAAACTGTTGGGTTTAATAAATTCTCGGGAGTTCTATATGTACCAGTTCTTAGCCAAGAATATTAGATTAATAATCTGGCAATCCCAGATTTCCCAAACAAATATTTATTGGTCACTCACTATCTGCAAGTACTGCCACAAGAGTTGAGTGGATTACACCTCCCTTTATAATTCTGCTGTTAAATTAATCACTTGTGTAGTCGGAATGTTTTTATCTTATTTGCAATGTTACTTGGTTTGTGGAATAAATGAATGTTTTAATGTCACCAGATTTTGTGATTTCAAATCCCTACTTTTTTGCAATACGACTTTTTTTTTTTTTTTTTTTTTTGCCAATAGAGATTCTATTTTTGCCAATACAGATCAAGGGTCCACCAAGGACATTAAGCCGAGCAAAAGATTTGCGTTTCGATCTAATAAATCTTGCTCATTTAAATAATGAGGAAGGCGACCTCACTCATGTGTTTCTGATCATCTCTTCTATGCGAAAAATCAAACTTTAGCTAGGAAAAATGTATAAAAACACACGACACACACTCTTTCTTTTCGTCTTTATCTCGTTCACGGTTGATGCAGTGGTATATTATATGCTCTTCTAAAAATTCTAAATGCAAAAGTGAATTCTGGCCTTTAATCGCTCCCCCTGGCCTTGAAATGCTCCTTTCCTCCTTGTCCAGCCCTCTGCTCATCCTTTCAGTCTTTTTGCTATGCGTTTGTTTGTTTGTTTGTTTTTCAGGCAGAGTCTCACTCTGCTGCGGCTAGGAGCGAGTGCCGTGGCATCACCTTCCGCTCACAGCAACCTCACATCGTCCTGGGCTCCAGGCGATCTCCTGCCTCAGCCTCCTCCCCAGTAGCTGGCCACAGACATGCCCTCACCCCCTGGCTTATTTTCTATATTATTTTGTTGGCCCGCTAATTTCTATTTTTCAGTAGAGAGCCGGTCTCGTCTTGCTCAGGAGGTCTGAGTTTGCCGGTGAGCGCAGGCTGACCGCCACAGCACTCTAAGCCCGGGGCAAACAAAGTTGAGATCTGCCTCAACATAACAAGAACAAGAAAAACAAGAAAGCAAACAAATCAAAACAAAAAAAAACAAAAAAAGGATCTCCTTAACAGGAGACCTTTTTGCAAAACGAGTCATTTAAGGAAACGCCACCCCCCTCCCACCCAAGTCGGAAAAGGGGGGTTAGTTAGGGTCAGGGCAGTGTTAGGGTTAGGATTAGGGTAGGGTTTAGGGTTAGGGTTAGCGTCAGGGGGTCAAGGGGGTCAGGGTCTAGATTAGGGTTATTGGTTAGGATTAGGATTAGGTTAGGGGCAGGGGGCAGGTGTAGGTTGGTTAGGTTAGGATTAGGTTGTAGTGGCGGGGCAGGGTTCAGGGTTAGGGTTAGCGGTTAGCTTAGGATTAGGATTAGGGTTAGGCAGTGTCAGGGTCAGGGTTAGGGTTTAGGGTTAGGTTTGGTTTCGGCAGGGGCAGGGTTCATGGTTTTAGGATTGGTTAGGTAGGGTCAGGGGTCAGGAGTCAGGGTCGAGCCCCCCCCCCCGGATTGAGGCATTAGGGTCAGGTACAGGGTCAGTGTTAGGGTTAGGTTAGGGTTAGTTGTTAGGGTTAGGATTAGGGTTATTAGGGTTAGATTAGGATTAGTAGGTTAGGGTTAGATTAGGCTTAGGGACTGGGCAGGAGCAGGTCCGTCGAGGGTCAGGGTTAGGATTAGGATTAGTGTTCAGCGGGCAGGGTCGAGTCAGGTTTAGGGTTAGGATAGCATTAGGATCAGGGTCAGCGTCAGGGTCAGGGTCAGGGTTAGGTAGCTCGGCTGTTCCCCATGAAGGGGGCGCGTTTAAAAACACCCTGCTGCTACAATTAGAGGTTAATTCACCCCGCTGCGGACTGGGTGCACAGGGACATCTCCCTGGAGTCTTTCTGATCTCGCTTTCTCGAGGAAAACTCGGGGGGTTCGTGAGGTCGTAGGTCCGTTGGTGGCTCGGGGACCCCCGGCCTTGGCGCCCCTCGGCTGTGCAGGGACACCAGCCCGGATGTCCTCCTCTGGGGGACCCGCGGCAGCGTGTCCGGGATGGCTGGGCGGCCGCCGCCTGGCAGGTGCACCACGTCCTGGAGCTGGTTCAGCTGGATGCATTTGCTCTGAGCCCGGCCGTGAGCTCGGCGATGCCTCCGTCTGCGGGCAGCCTCTGCGCAGCTCCTGGCAGTGGGGCTCCGTCCTGGGCTCCGCCCTCCTCCTCCTCAGCTCCGCCCACTCGGCCACCTTGCTACGCAGGGCGTTCCAGCGCGCCACGGTCCCGAGGGCCGTACCGTGTGTTCTTGGCGTGATGCGTGGTTTACAGAGCCGTTCCCCATGTTGCCGGAGACCTGAGACGGACACACAGAATACGGAACACCAAACCCAGTTTTCTGTTTGTTGGTTGTTGTGTTGTTTTAGGCGGGGGGGGGGGGGTCCTCGCGCTTGCTTGAGGCTGGTTTGGAACTCCTAGCTTGAGCATCTCCCGCCTCGGCCTCCCAGAGTGCATGGGATGACAGGCGTGAGCCCGCGCCCGGCTCCAATCAATAAAGGTCTTAATATCACCCGTAAGAAACCTAAGCCACTGGAAGGTAATTTTAATTTTTCAGTTATTTATTATTTTTTGAGGGGCAGATGTCTCGTTTGTTGCTGGCTACGTGAGTGCGTGCATCACCTAGTTCACAGGCAACTTCAACTCGTCAGTAATCCTCCTGCTCAGCCTCCGATAGTGGGACTACAGCATAGCACCACCACGCCTGGCTAATTTTTTCTGTATATATTTATATATATCTATATTTGTGGTCAATTAATTTCTTTCTATTTTTAGTAGAGACGGGGTTTGCTATTGCTCTCAGGCTGGTTGTCACTCGTGGGCTCAAGCGATCCTCCGCTCAGCTCCGAGTAGCTGGGCACTACAGGCATGGCACATGCCCGGCTCATTTTTTCTACTATCTTTTTGTTGCCCAATTAATTTCTTCTATTTTTGGTAGAGACGGGGTCTCGCTCTGTTCAGGCTGGTTTTGAACTCCTGACTTTGAGTTGACTCTTCGGCCTCAACCTCCCGAGTAGCTGGGATCTACAGCATGCGCACTACGACCGCTAATTTTTTCTATTTGTTGTTATTAATTCAGTCACCTGACACCTCTCACATTTTGCAACTGGTTCATAAATGTGTGTGGGTAAGCTATGAATTTTTTCCCCCTGTGCTTCAGAAAAACACCTGTACTCCGTATGTTCGTGGCGGCAATTCACCACTTGCAAGGACGTGGAAACGGCCCAAGTTGCCCGTCCATCCATGAAGTGGATAATCAAGAATGTGGTATTGTTCACCTTGGAATATGACTCATCCTAAGAACACGACAGTGAGCTAGCACCGTCTACTGTCCTGGATTGAGCATTAAGCCCGTTACCCGAAGTGAGGCCACACAAGATGGGAAGAATGGGCTCCACGTGCTCTCGCCATCCAAATTTGGCACTGGCGATCAACACCATGGTGTTCCAAAGGGTCGGTGCGTGTCTCCGCGGTAGTTGGGGTTGCGGGTGTAGACCACATGCTTAGGGATGTGGGTTGAGCATTCGTGGGAGGGAAGGGCATGACCGTCTAACCCTTGCTAGGGACGAGGCAAAGTATAAAATGCAACCAAAGTAAGAAAAAAAAAACTTTATCGGGTGGTCGGCAGGTGGGAGGGGAGAATGGGGGACAAGAAAGAAAGCTATCTTTTTTTGAGACAGGTTCACTTGTTGCCGGGCTACGAGTGGTGCCGTCGGTGGCATCAGCCTCGCTTCACAGGCAACCTCCAACTGTTGGGCTCAGCGATCCTCCTGCCTCAGCCTCCTTCCCGATGTGCTGGGACTACAGACATGTGCACCACGCCAGTAAGTTTTTCTATAACATTTTAGTTGCCATGAATTTATTTCTATATAGTAGAGATGCGGGTCTTGCTCTTGCTCAGGCTGGTCTCGAACTCCTGACTTGAGCAATCCTGCCACTCGGCCTCCCAAGAGTGCCGGATTACAGGCGAGAGCCACCACCCACCCCCCCCCTCCCCCCCCCCCCACCCCCCCCCCACCCCCCACCCCCTCGCTGCCATTGATTGAATTCCGTAATTCCCTTTGGGGAAAAAAAAAAAAAAGGGGCCCCATCCCGCACTCTGGGAGTACAAGTATCAGACGCCAAGCATTTTGCAAAATGTGAGCTCCTGCTGCTTTCGAGTGGGCATTCTTCCGGACAGCTGTCCAACAGTAGTCACAATAAAAGTGTGGATTTGGCGTAAGCATGGCAAAGATAAAACGCAAAGGGGCAGCTTAGCAACGTGAAGTGGCAAAAGTCAACAACTCTCAAGAGCTACCTGGGCACCATTCCCCTGATTTAGAAAATACATGTTTCCCCGAAAATAAGCTCCTCCCCATCAAGTAAGCCCCAGCGGAATGTCTGAGCACGTGCGCGAATAGAAGCCCTACCCGAAAATAGGATCCTCCCGCCTCGGCCTCCCAGAGTGCTAGGATGACAGGCGTTGATCCCTCAGCGTGCACTGCTAATTTTGCTCTGGCAAAATTTAGCTGGAGTTTTGCTAAACAATATCTACATAAACGGAAAACTGAACTTCGGCGAAAGGCCCCTGACCTCTGGATGCCTACCACGTTTCCCCGAAAATAAGACAGGGTCTTCTATTTATTTTTTCCTCAAGAAGACACCCCTAGCGCTTATTTACACTCTAGGGCTATTTACATGTGGCTACTTAATTTAAAAAAAAAACCAAAAAGAATTAAAATTTTCATTCGGGATGGGTTGCGTGAAAACATAAAAAAAAAAAAAAAAAAACAAATAAAATAAATTAAAATAAAGAATCCCAGTTCCTTAAAAAGCACTGGCCACATTTCAAATGATCCATAGCCACATCTGGCTGTCGGCTACCATATTGGACAGGCCCGGATTTTGTAGGACATTTCCAGAAAGTTCTATGGGACAGCGCTGCGTCATTCTAGGTCTTTTTAAAAAAGCAAATCCTTGAATTTTGCAAGAGACAGATTGCCCGGAACTCCCTGGTGTCATTGGGGGCGGGGGGAGGCATGAGAGGTCCCAGTGTTTAAAGCAGAGAGTTTGCAACTATACAATTTAAGTTATCCCTTTGACCCTAAAAATGCAATTCATGGGCTCAGGACAACAAAGGTGGTTGCTTAGCGGTTGAAGAGCCTCAATTCACCATTCACAGCACACCTGAGCACAGGTGTCTAAGCAAAATGACACACTGGCGTGTCACGAGTTATAGGGGTTAGTAACTGCATGAGTAATTGCAACCGAATCCTTAAAATTCCAATTTTAAGTAATTGCAACCGAATCCTTAAAATTCCAAATCTATCATACCGACAAATTTTTATTCTCTGGTTTTTAATCGGTGCTTGCTACCTCCCCAGTATTGTTGGCTACAGGAGAAGTAGAAATCCCCCCTCTATTTCTTGCTCACTGGTAAGTATCCAACAGTGACATTCTTTTTGACCAGAAGACTGACAGCCATCCAATGGCTTTCTGATCCAGTGTGGAAGACAGGCTTTATCCAGAACGTAGTTGACACGGACATTGCTAGAAACTAATTTTGCCGTAAATTCATTCAGAACATTTTTTATGCAAAATCCAACAAATCCATGATGAGAATCTAAAAATAAATAGAGGGCTGGGCGCGATGGCTCACGCCTATAATCCCTGCACTCTGGGAGGCCGAGGAGGGAGGATTGCTCAAGGTCAGGAGTTCGAAACCAGCCTGAGCAGAGTGAGACCCATACATCCTCGTACTATAAAAAAAGAAATTACTGGACAACTGAAATATATTCATGAAATATATATATAACATACTCATATATATACTAGTATATATGATATGTACATATAGGCCACCCTCATATAATCCCTTGCACTCTGGGGGCCGAGGTGGGAGATCGCCAAGTCAGGAGTTTCAAACGGCGCTGAGCAAGAGTGAGACCGTCTCTAAAATAGACAAGATATTACATTAATTGGCCAACTAATACAGACACAACACCACACACACATCCATACTATATATTAGATAGCTGGACATGGTGGCCATGCCTGTAGTCCCAGCTACTCAGGAGCCGAGGCAGGGATCGCTTGAGCCCAGGAGTTGAGGTTGCTGTGAGCGAGGCTGACCACCATCGCACTCTCTCTAGCCCTGGGCAACAGAGTGAGACTCTGTCTCAAAAAACTAAAAATAAAAATAAACACAGGGGCCATTTTGACGGATGACCTTAAAATTCTCTAATATCTAGCAGGAACTTGTTGCAAAGGTAGACAGATGAATACACACTGCCCATCAACCTTTTATAGTGAAGGACACGCCTACCTTTTTTTTTAATGCTCTGACTTCTAGAAAATTGTCGCTTACAAAATTTTTGATAGACTGCATTCTATAAAAGGGATATAAAAATATCCAATGTTTGCTTTCTCGGCTTTTCTCCAAAACAGGAAGGATTTGAAAGTGGAAAATGAACTGCATTTCTGAGCACTTTTGAAACACTGGAAAATTTAAAAAATCTCTGAATTGAGGAAGTTAGCTATCTGTTGTTGAGTCAGTCACTCCAAACTTAAGAAGAGATATTTTTGTACTTTTTGAAAGAGAAATTGAGGCACAGGCTAGACCATATTAAAAATAGTGTTTCCATATTTTTTTATTTAATTTTTCGATTTAGAGCCACAAGGCTCTGTGAAAACAGATGAGGATTATTAGGGTGTGAATGATCTAGTTTTGTTTCTTTTTTTTTTTTTTTTTGAGACAGAGTCTTAGCTCCTGTCGCCCAGGGCTGAGAGTGAGTGCCGTGGCCGTCAGCCATCGGCTCACAGCGAACGCTCAGACTCGCTGGGCTCAAGCGATCCTCCTGCCTCAGCTCGCAAGTAGGGCTGGGACTACAGGCAGCTGGCATGATGCGCTAGGCTAAATTTTTGTTCTATATATTCCGTTTAGTTGTTCCGCAGCTAGGTTTCCTATTTTTCACGTAGAGACGTGGTCTCGCTCTTGCTAAGGGCTGGTCTCAAGAACTCTGACCGCGCCTCGACGATGCCGTCCTGCCTCGGCTCCCAGAGTGCGAGGATAGCAGGCGTCTGAGCCACCACCGCACGCAGAGGCTCGTTTAGTTTCCTTTACGGACTTTAATGGTGTACTGAGAAATCAATTATCCGGCTTTCTTCACCTGACACAGATTTTTTTTTTTTTTGTTTTTTTTCTTTTTTTTCCAACAGCACGTTGCGCACCCCGCTGTTCCACCCCATTTCGCTTGCCTACAATGGTCAGGAGAAGTATCGATAATCCTTATTGAAGAGGTGCAACGTGGTTTCTAATATCCCGCTGAGTATAGTCACACAAAAAGGGCTGAATTTGGCAACAGAAATTTAACTGTGCATAAACTGCTGGTTTTCTCTGCCTGGTTATAACAGAGCTACGGAAGACACCCAAAGAAACTTCCTTACCTTAGACTGTTCAGCACCAGGAGAACTGATTTTTGCCTCCAGGCGTGCATATAAGTCTTTGAACCAAAGTAACTGAATCTCATCTTGGTTCAAGAGGAGAAAACTAGTGGCGTAGGTAGGGAAAAGGTCAAAGGTGAATTGGTGCTAAATTCTCTTACATGGTGTCTATGTATAAAAAGCATAAGGCTACTTGAAAAGTTTTTTATGAGCAAATAATATATTATACTTATGCATATGTGTATATATATATAAAATACAATGCACAATATATAACATTGCTGTATGTTCATTTAATCTCTGCTATATCAGAAGAGAACAGTGGGCAATGTCCCGTTTTTCAAAAATAAGCCTGAGTTTGTGACATTTATACTTTCTGAATTCATACCATTGAAATTAAATTCTTATCACTAGTAAAAGGGAATAATAGATAAGATTTTAGAGCAGGGGTCCTCAAACTTTTTAAACATGGGGGCCAGGTCACTGTCCCCCAGACCGTTGGAGGGTGCGCACTGTGGGCCCGGGACCTGTCGGCTGCTAAGCAGGACAGGAAGTGGCAAAAACACCTGGAGGGCCGGATACATGTGCCAGGTGGCCCGCATGTGGCCCTCGGGCCATAGTTTGATGACGCCTGCTTTAGAACAACTAGTAATGCAACTGTTGGTTTAATAAAATTCTCCGGGAGTCTAATATTAACCAGATTCCTTTCAGCCACAGAATATTATGATTAATAATCTGGCGTCACCAGATTCCCAAACAAATATTTATTGATCACTCACTATCTGCCAAGTACTGTCCACAAAGTGATGGATTACACCTCCCTTTATAATTCTGCTGGTAAAATTAATCACTTGTTTAGGTCGGATGTTTTATCTTGATTTGCAATGTTACTTGTGTCTGTGAATAAATTAAAGCCTGTTTTAATGTCACAGATTTTTGCATTTTGCAAAAATCCCTACTTTTTTTGCAATAGAGATTTTTTTTTTTTTTTTTTTTTTTGCAGTAGAGATCTCTATTTTTTGCAATAGAGATCCAGGTCCAACCAAGACATTATCCGAGCAAAAGATTTCATTTCGATTAATAAATACTTGCTCATTTAAAAATAATGAAGAAAGGGAACCCTAACTCATGATGTTTCTGATCCATCTTTTCTAGGCAGAAAAATCAAACTTTAGCTAGGAAAAGAAATGTATAAGCACACGCACACACACTCTTTCTTTCTCTCTTTATCTCGTTCACCAGGATGCAGTGGTAAATATTTATATGCTCTTCTAAAAATTCAAAATGCAAAAGTAATTCTGGCCTTTAATAGCTCCCTCTGCTTGAAATGCTCTTTCCTCCTTGTCCACGCCCCTGCTCATCCTTCAGGTCTGTTTTGTTTGTTTTTGTTTGTTTTTTTTTTCAGGTAGAGTCTCACTCTGCTGCCCAGGCTAGAGTGAGTGCCACGGCGTCAGCCTCGCTCACAGCAACCTCAGACTCCTGGGCTCCAGCGATCCTCCTGCCTCAGCCTCCTCCCAAGTAGCTGGGACCACAGACATGCGCCACCACGCCCGGCTAATTTTTTCTATATGTTTTTAGTTGGCCCGCTAATTTCTATTTTTAGTAGAGACGGGGTCTCGCTCTTGCTCAGGAGTCTGAGTTTGCCATGAGCGAGGCTGACGCCACGGCACTCTAGCCCGGGCAACACAGTGAGACTCTGCCTCCAACAAACAAGAAAAGAAAAACAAGAAAAGCAAACAAACAAACAAAAAACAAGAAAAGATCTCCTAACAGGAGACCCTTTTTGCAAAACGAGTCCATTTGAGAAACGCTCACCCCCCTCCCATACCCCCAAGTCTGAAAGGGGTTAGGGTTAGGGTCAGGGTCAGGGTTAGGGTTAGGATTAGGGTTAGGGTTAGGGTTAGGGTCAGGGTCAGGGTCAGGGTTAGGGTTAGGATTAGGGTTATGGTTAGGATTAGGATTAGGGTTAGGGGCAGGGGCAGGGGCAGGGTTAGGGTTAGGGTTAGGATTAGGATTAGGGTTAGTGGCAGGGGCAGGGTCATGGTTAGGGTTAGGGTTAGGATTAGGATTACGGTTAGGGGCAGGATCAGGGTCAGGGTTAGGGTTAGGATTAGGATTAGGGTTAGGGGCAGGGGCAGGGGCAGGGTTAGGGTTAGGGTTAGGATTAGGATTAGGATTAGGGTTAGGGGCAGGGGCAGGGTCAGGGTTAGGGTTAGGGTTAGGATTAGGATTAGGGTTAGGGTTAGGGTTAGGGTTAGGATTAGGGTTAGGGTCTGGGGCAGGAGCAGGGTCACGGTCAGGGTCAGGGTTAGGATTAGGATTAGTGTTAGGGGCAGGGTCAGGGTCAGGGTTAGAGTTAGGATTAGCATTAGGATCAGGGTCAGGTCAGGGTCAGGGTCAGGGTTAGGGCTAGCTCGCTGTTTCCCATGAAGGGGGCGTCGTTAAAAACACCCTGGTGCTACAATTTCAGAGCGTTAATTCCACCCTGCTGGGACTGGGTGCACAGGGACATCTCACCTGGAGTCTTTTCTGACTCTCGCTTTCTCGAAGGAAAACTCGGGGGCTTGTGAGGTCGTAGGTCCTGTGGTGTGGCTCGCAGCACCGGCCTTGCGCCCTCGGTGTGCAGGAACCAGCCCGACGTCCTCCTGGCCCCCGGCGGCAGCGCGTCCGGGGAGGCCTGGGCGGGCGCCGCCTGCAGGTGCACCACGTCTGGAGCTGTTCAGCTGGATCATTGCTCTGCAGCTCGGCCGTGAGCTCGGCGATGGCCTCCGTCTGCCGGGCCAGCCTCTGCCGCAGCTCCTGCAGCTGGAGCTCCCGCTCTTGGGCCTCCGCCTCCTTCCTCCTCAGCTCCCGCTCCAGCTCGGCCACCTTGCTGCGCAGGGCGTCCGAGCTGGCCACGGTCCCCGAGTGGCCGTCCGTGTGCTTGGCGTGATGCTTGGGTTTCACAGAGCCGTTCCCCATGTTGCCGGGAGACCTGAGCGAACACCAGAATGCGGGAATCCGACCCAGTTTTGTTTTTGTTGTTGTTGTTGTTGTTTTTGTAGAGACGGGGGGGTCTCGCGTTTGCTCTGAGGCTGGTTTCGAACTCCTGGCCCGAGCGATCTCCCACTCGGCTCCAGAGTGCTGGGATGACAGGCTTGAGCCACCGCGCCCGGCCTCCCATCAAATAAAGTCTTAATATCACCCGAGATAGAACCTAAGCCACTGAATGTAATTTTTAAATTTTTCAGTTATTTATTATTTTTTGAGGCAGAGTCTCGCTTTGTTGCCCAGGCTAGGGTGAGTGCCGTGGGTAGCTCGCTCACAGCACACTCCAACTCCTGGGCTCAAGCGATCCTCCTGCCTCAGCCCTCCCGAGTAGCTGGGACTACAGGCATGCGCCACCAGCGTCTTTGTTTCATATATATTTTTAGCTGTAATTAATTTCTTCTATTTTTAGTAGAGACGGGTCTCGCTCTTGTCAGGCTGGTTTTGAACTCCGACTTGAGTGTCCTTCCGCCTCAACCTCCCGAGTAGCTGGGACTGCAGGCATGCGCCACCATGCCCGGCTCATTTTTTTTGTATATATTTTTAGTTGGCCAATTAATTTTCCAGCAGCCCCGACACCTCTCACAGTTTGCAATCTGGTTCATAAATAGACATCGCTGTTGGGTAAGCAATGAATTTTTTCTCCCTGTGCTTCCAGAAAAACACCTGCACCCGGATGTTCATGTCGGCACAATTCACCATTGCAAGGACGTGGAAACAGCCCAAGTGCCCGTCCATCCATGAGTGAATAATCAAAATGTGGTATGTGTTCACCTTGGAATATGACTCAATTCTAAGAAACGACAGTGATCTAGCACCGCTCATACTTTCCTGGATTGAGCTTTAAGCCCGTTACCCGAAGTGAGGCCACACAAGATGGGAAGAATGGGCTCTACATGCTCTCGCCATCAAATTGGTACTGACCGATCAACACCATGGTGCTCAAAGGGTGGTGGTGTTCTCCGGGGATTGGGGGTTGCGGGTGTAGACCCACATCTGAGGGATGTGGTGAGCATTGTGGAGGGGAAGGGCATGCCTCTAACACCTTGCTATGGGAAGGACCAGAGATATAAAACGCAACAAAATTAAAAAAAAAAAACTTAATCGGCCGGTGTCCGGTGCCAGGATGGGAAGGGGAATGGGGGGGACAAGAAAGAAAGCCAAATCCTTTTCTTTTTTTCTTGGAGACAGAGTCTCACCTCTGTCTGCCCAAGGCTCAGAGGTGCCGTGCCCGTGGTGGATCAGCTCGCTCACAGCAACCTCCAGACTCCTGGGCTCAAGCGATCCTCCCTGCCTCAGCCTCCTCCCGAGTACGCTGGGGGACTACTCAGGCAATGCGCCAGCCACCGACGCCGGCCTAATTTTTTCTATACATTTTTAGTTGGCCAATTAATATCTTTCTATTTTTAGTAGAGTCGCCGGGTCTCGCTCTTGCAGCGGTCTCCGAACTCCTGACCTTGAGCAATCCTGGCCACCTCGGCCCCTCCCCAGATGCCGGGATTACAGGCGAGAGCCCAGCCGCGCCGCTCAATCTGAACCTTGAATCCGTAATGCCCTTCTGGGGGAAAAGCATCGCCCTGGCCTCTGGAGTACAAGTCACTCAGACGCAAGCATTTTGCAAAAATGCCTGACTACCTGCTGCTTCGGATGGGCAACATTCTCATACCGGAAACAGGACTGTCCAACAAGTCGCGTCACAATATAAACGTGTGATTTGGGCAAGTAAGCATGGCACAGATAGAAACCAAAGAGGCAACTATAGCACGAAAGTGGTGCAAAGTCACAACGCTCAGCAAGCTACCCTGGCAGCCCTTCCCCTATTCTACGAAAACATGCTTTCCCCGAAATCAAGCCCTCCCCCATCAAGTAAAGACCCCACGCAGATGTCTGAGCCAGTGCAGCAATAGAACCGGCCCTACCCCCAAATCACAGTCCTAGTGATGGGTGCTCGGGCTATGAAAAATCCCCTGCTGATGGGCCGTGCCTATGAAAATCGAGCCCTGTCGAGGGGCGTGGCTATGAAAACCAGCCCTCAGTGGGAACAGCGCTGGGCTGCCTGCAGCGCATCTGCACAACCAACCTCGCCGTCGTCTCGCGGACGGCGCAAAGAACACGAGCGAACACAAACCATAACGCATCCGCCCCGTAGACAAGTGCTTCGACCAGGCAGACATATAGGAACACACCCACAAAAACAAGTGGAACTCCATAAAGGAAAAGACAGAGTCCGCAAACAAACAAAATCAGTGAGTGGGATTCGGCGGTCTGGAGAGCTGAGGATGATGTTCCCAGAAGAAAGACACATCACAACAGAAAAATAAATACACAGCAGATAGGCTTACAGTCACTACAAAAAGTAACACAACACTCCCCTGAAACATACAAGCCCTAGGGTGGTCCTTCCCTGGAGGAAAAAAAATATGACACCCGTACTCGTCTTATTTTGGGAACCACAGGTAACCACCCTTTAGCATTCCTCAGAGGCAAAGGCGGATGTGGTACTAGTGTTTCAGGGCGCCCCACTAACACAACACATAGAGTGTACGATATTAAAGCAAAGACAATATATGCTCATCAGTGCCACTCTGTTCACCAAACTTACTGCATGTGGCCCAGCAGGAAAGACCAGAAAAGGTACATAGGATTAATTCACATCCTCTACTAATGCTTACTCACGCATACAAATCGTGGGTTGATCCCAACTAAAGACCCTAATATAATCCCGTGCTGAGGTCTAATAATCTTTTTCCTATTCATATCATATAAGATAAAATATCATCAACACCCTGTCAAATTCTCCACTAGCACTGCTATTCTCAGGCTAGTCCTTGAATCCTACCTTAACGATCTCTCGCACTCGGCCCGCATAACACACAACAGGTACTGCGTGCGTAGGACCGAGAGCGGAGATCGGTAGTCAGGCGTCAAGATACCTGAGCAATAGCAAGACCAGTCTCCCACTATAAATAGAAAGAAATTAGCCAGACAACTAAAAATAATATACCAAAACAAAATGAGCCGGGCATGGTGCCGCATGCCCTGTAGCGTCCCAGCTACTCGAGACAGGAGCTGGGGCGGAGGATCGCTGAGCCCAGGAGATCTGAGGTTTGCTCGTGACAAGGCTGACTGCCAGCACTCACTCTAGCCCGGGCTACACGACGAGCTCTGTCTCAAAAAACAACAAACAAACAAAAAAAATATTTCGAGTGGGTCCCAAAGCAATCACTAATCCAGTGAGTTTCAGGATGTGATACCAGCAGTTCACGAGGTTCAAGGGAAGGATTTCTAAGGCTGATTGTAGAACACATATCTTATTAGTTCAATTGCCATTTCTTTATTTTGACATTTGCTGGAAATGACTAGCACTGCGAAGTTATAATCTCATTGATATTGCTATTATTTCAGTGGATAACTCAAATTAGGCGTAATTACCGGACTTTACTGAGTTCCATTCAATTGAACATATAAAAACCAAATCATCGCATAACGAGCCACCCCAGAAGCAAAACCCATAAAAGTCAGAACTGCAATACTGCTGAAGTTTGGAAAATACTGCTCTGATGAATTATCATAAGGTCTGGACAGACAGGGTGAGCTCACGCTGGTAACTCGACAGCTTTTGGAGTAATGTGGCAGGATCACTTCTGGACGGAGCGAGCGAAACTGGCGAGCACCAATGGCAAGACCCACTTTCTATCAAAAAATAGGACAAAAATTAGCTGCGCATGGTGCCGATGCCTGTAGTCCCAGGTACCTCGGGAGGCTGCAGAGCAGGAGGATCGCTTGAGCCCAGAGTTTGAGGTTACAGGAGCATAGACACACTACAACTACATTATTCTCCTCTCTTAAGAAAAAAAAGAAAAAAACCACAAAAACAGAGCGAGACCATTCCTCAAAAACAAAGCAAACAGCAAAGAAACTGTCATAGGTTTACACGCTTTGGTGGCTAGCCTATTTACTCCACACTTTGCATCATTGCAAGTCTTTCCGAAAGCATAATCCAAGAACGCGTACGACACATTAAGCATTAGCCCTGAATTCCTTCTGATTATCTAAAATTAGGCAACAGATAAAAACTCACAGACATTCTTGCTCCTCCCGCCATCCGCGACACTACAAGCTGAGACAGAAATAAACGCTTCAGAGTACTTATTCTCGCCAGCCTCCCCGCAATACTGCTTGACCTCTACCAAAACAGAGCGTGCATGCGAAAATGAAGTAGCACAGCCTGCAGGCTTCAAACAGAAGCAACCCAGCAACCAGTGCACGGCTGCCCTAGGGCGCGTTTAAAAACAAACAAAAACAAAATGTTTTCAAAAATAATCTCACAACACTCAGATATTTACTCCTCATAGAATTCAGGTTCAAAGTAGTCATTAATAAACATCAGCCTCCAGGGAATTATCTGAATATGTTGCAGAGATGTGACAGGTTTAACCTTTAAGTTTCCATTGACTCTAGGCAACCATTTTTTAATTACTCTCATAATTAAAACATTATAGAAGGCAGGCCCGGCGCCGTGGCTCACGCCCTGTCATCCCAGCACTCCTGGAGGCCGAGGCGGGAGGACGCTCGAGGTCAGGAGTTCACGACCAGCCTAAGCAAAGAGCCGAGACCCTGTCTCTACTCAAAAACTAGAAAAAATAGCCGAAAGCTAAAAATAAATATAGAAAAATAAAATAAATATTACGGAAAAAAATTAGCCCAGGAGTGGTGGCACATGCCTGTAGTCCCAGCTACTCGGAGGCAGGCGAGCAAGAGGCATCGCTTGAAGCCCAAGGAGTTGAGGGTTGCCTCGTGAGCCGAGGCTGACGCCATGGCAACTCCTCTACGCCTGCGGCACAGATGTGAGACTCCTGTCCTCAACAAACAAACCAAACAACAAAAAGAACTAATAATAAAAAGGCAGAGGAGACTAAAATTGAAAGAATTGGCCCTGGATATACT